ATAACATACGATGAAGACGTATCAGACAAGTTGGTATGCCCAGGGGCCGCATGTGTTCCCGATCTGCAACTAGCTTAACGGGTCCGTCGTGGCAGTGGTTGCCTTTGAACGACATATGATAGGTGGCGACACTACACCAGGCCGGATTTGAACGGTATTTCCGCTATATGACGATGTGTCAGGGTGATGTGGGAGGAAAGAACAAAATAAAGCATGTTTCAGACGTTTACCACAAAGGTCAAAGCCACGAATGAGTGAGTGGGTTGGGTTTAACGCCGCTTCTAACAGTATTCCAGTTATATCGCGGCGTGTCAGCTTAATGCGGGAGGAAAGCCCGAAGTGATGCAGGTCTTAGACGTTTACCACTTCAGGTGAAACCCACGAGCACGGGTATGGTGCTGACAAACCTAGAAACATAATCGGGGCGAACCGGTATTCGAACCCACAATCATAGGTGTTTGGCGTGCCCAAGGGACGCAACTCTGCACAGCGAATCGCGGCGGCTTAGAAGACTGTGACCCCCGTGTCCCCGGTGAAAGCCACGAGCAGGTGTATGGTGCTGATCATATAATCAAGGCGAATCTGGGATTCGAACCCATGATCATATGTTTCTTGCACTCGTATGTGATACGTGTGTAGCACACCCAGAAACAGTAGGGATGATGTATGTGAATATGGGAAGGGGCGTATCGACCTGTGTTGTACACACGACCTTCACGTGTTATATGGACGCCGTCGAGGGGATGAAAAGGGGGCATTTAGTTGTTTTAAGAGAGAATTAAGTGGCTAGTCTAGCTGATTACTGCCTGTATTCTAGTGTGTTTTTAACTCAGGAGCCTGGCTTTAGTGTACATACAACATGTGAATCAGATCAAGTGGAAAGACTAGATAGATGCCCTCTTTCAGTCAGTCTGTAGCAGAGCTATTATCTCCCTACTCGCTTGACGACTGCAGACGTCAGATCGCAACGACCATAGACTTTGTTGTAAATATATTAGTTGATATTCTTCAGAAGAGTGCTTCAACGTGTGGGCTATGTATAAATAACCATAACGACATAAAAAAAAATAAGGCGTAATAGTGAAAGATAGTATGTAAAGAATGTTTCTACGGAAGCCTTTTAGGGCCATTTGTTTGTTTCGATACTAAGTTGAAATTTCAAGAAACTAAGTTGAAATTTCAAGATACTATCTTTAAATTTCAAGATACAGAAGTTGATACTATCTTGAAATTTGAACTTAGTATCTTGAAATTTGAACTTAAAATCTTGAAATTTCAACTTCTGTATCTTGAAATTTCAAGATAGTATCTTGAAATTTCAACTTAGTATCTTGAAATTTCAAAATAGTATCGATTTTTTTTTTTAAAAACAAATGGCCCTAAAAGGCTTCCGTATGTTTCACTTTGAAAAGAGATAAATTTACTTGCTTGATAACTTCAGAATAACTGGAAAAATAGATTATATACGAGAGTATCGCTATCTCCAGAATATGAATAGAGACTTGAAGACGTAAGAGAACTGCTTCTTGTAAATAGCAGTACTGATAGTAAAACATTTGGCAGATTGTGAATAAAGTAATCCAACAATCAGCAACAGTAGTCACCTCTGTTATATGTTGAACGGCTTCTGAATTTGACTGGTATTCCTGTAGATACTGGGTGGTCGGGTAGCCTAGTGGTTAGAGCGTTTGCTCGTCACGCCGAAGACCCAGCGTAAAACCATACTCACTCACTTACTGTTGATACTGACCACATTAATGTTGCAGAAGATAATATAAATCGACATACTTAAGATATGTGCGATCATTGTAACCATGATTATTTGAATAATATTTTGAATGCTAATATTTTTGAGGATGAAATTATAAAGCTACGAAGGGCTTGAACAGTGGAAGGTCTGCTGGGCCAATGGCATAGTTCTGGAAATGTTAAAATGTTAAAGTGACTCTATCTTACCATATTTGAAGATGAAAAACATTTGTTCTTTATATCTCTTGCATATCTTAATATGAGACTAATGTACACCCCCGGTATATATCAAAACAGTAAGAGTGTCATTTCGCTAAAACGGCTATTAAACTGTCATAATCATTTTGTACTTGTGAATGTAGTCAAATATGTGAAAAGATCCCTGAGTTGGTATACGATGACTTGACTGGAATTTGCAAATAACCCAGTTTTTCTCTTTCCTTCAAAATTCATGGACAAATTGATAATGCCAGTCCAGAAAATGAACCTCAAAGGGAGACAACTTTGCAGAAATTGGTTCAATATTATGACCCAAATGATGGACTATCCTTTGTCCAAGCACAAACCACTTCATCACATTACCGCCTCATGTGATAATGTTCAAACATAGTATTAAGACTACCTGTGTATTCCTTTCTTGTTTATGCCACAGTTGACCCTGTAAAACTTCTGAAAGAAAATTAGCATTTTTAATAACTAATAAAAAAACAATTTGCTTCAGCAACACACTGATTAGCCAAAAATCGTATAACTCATCTGAGAGCTAAAAAAATATGATTAACTACAAGAGACTGAACTACCCAGTAACAATTACAATAGGGATAAAAACCATGTGATTATTGCCTTTTACACCCATGGCGTACTAAATATATTGTAGTGAGTGAGTTGGGTTTTACGCCGTTTTGAACAGTATTCCAGTTATATCGCGGCGTGTCAGCTTAATGTGGGAGGAAAGCCCAAAGTGATGCAGGTCTCAGACGTTAACCACTTCAGGTGAAACCCACAAGCACGGGTATGGTGCTGACAAACCTAGAAACAGAATCGGGAGAACCGGGATTCGAACCCACAATCATAGGTTTCTGGCGTGCCCAAGGGACGCAACTCTGCACAGCGAATCGCAGCACCTCAGACGACTGGGCCATGAATATATTGTAAGGCCATGCATGTACTTTCAACTTCATAGTCCATGTGGTTTCATAGATTTAGAAAATGTACAAGTTTCACAGCATAACCTCACAACATGATCAACACATAAATCGTAGGTTCAGGCAAGTTAAGTACCAATCTTTAACATTAAAATAGTCTTACAACTGAACACTTCCCAATATACTTTACTTTGTTCATCTCTAAATTAGAAGACAGTATGTCAACTTTTGCTTCAGTCGGACTGCAGGCAATGTTTCTAAGAAGACATAAATGTGAAAGCAAGAAAAATAAAAATTATGCAATTTGTGTCCCTTTAGATGACTGAATGAAGAATTGGATCACCATGAGCTATCCCAATTTGCTGTGCAGAGTTATGTCCCTTAGGTGTGCCAGACATGGTGGTTTGAATCCGAGTTTGCCCTGACTGTGTGACTAGGTTTGTCATCACTATACCCATCTTCTTGGATTTAACCAAAGTGGTAAATGTCTAAGACAAGCATCACTTCAGGCTTTCCTCCCATATCAAGCTATCTTTCATATACTGATGGTAAAGAACAAGGGAACAATGAAAACGTATAGGGAAATATTAAAGCTGTATTGTCAGAACATTTGAAATAGGGTGCATACAATTCAACATGTCTGAATCAAATGTTTGTGTGCATCGTTTCCAACCTGTAATTGGTAGACATGGCTGGGAACTCAAGATAGCATATCATTTTACTGTGTCCAAAACTAAGTGTTCCCTTATTTATTTCAAACAGTATATAACTGAAAGCTGAATAAAGCCACACTGTCTGCCACAAGCAACAACTACACTAGGGGCTAGGTGGTCTGTGATTCCTGAGGACTCAAAGAGGGGAAAGAAGAGACCACTCAGCAGTCCCACAGTTTAGTTAGTCTTATTGTAGTAAGCCACTATCCTACACTGGCTTGAATACATAAACTGTGATTATTGCTTTCAGCAGCCTGCAGTGAACTGGCCCCGTGGGGATACCAGGTTAGCATAGTGCCCCATCAACCTCTGCTGGTCGTTAGAGGTGAACAAATGGATTGGGCGGTCATCCAAACGGATTGGTTGATTGTGTGTCTTCGTACCATGACAGCATGGATCGTTGCTCACAATATCGATCACCGATGGTCTGGTTCAGACAGTTATTTCCAGGCCGATGTAAAATAGCTGAGACTGGCGTCAAAGATCAAAATCAAATTGAATCAAAACATAGTGATTAAGCTTGAAGGTGGTCGACTGCAATGTAGAGTCCAGTCAATAACTGAATGTAAAGCAATTAGGGGACCCAACTGCCTTAGCCCCCTCACACTGCAGAGTGGCTCCATGCTGACATTGCCAACCTCTGCTTGTCTGATCCAGGCCTGAACAGACCGAACAAGCCTGCATACTGCAGTGATATAACTGAAAGCTGCTGCTAATGTGGACAACACTTTTTTCTTTTACTTACATTGAGGGGGAAGAGGTGGTCAGTGGTGCCACAGTTTACTGTGCAGAATTGCTTCCCTTAGTTGTGTCAGGATCTGATCATGTGTTTTAATCATAATCTTTGATTATGTAAGCACCATATCCATGGTTTGATTTCAACAAAGCTGTGAAAGTCTTTGACCAGCGTCACTTCAGACTTGAGTCCCACATGAAGCTGGTATGCTGTGATATAACTGAAATCCACGGTAGAAAGCTAACACATAGGTGTAATTTGTGCAATGACTGGAAGGATGTCTGACCACCCCAACTACACAACCCCATTTCTTCACTCCATTCTTGGCATGTCCCTATTACACTTGGTGAACCTACATTGCAACATGACAGAAACTCACTTTGTAAATTGTGTGATAATGCAACTCTTAGTGAATCAGCACTGATTCACATTGATAAAATTTCAGATAATTATACACAAACTTTAGTGAGTAGAGTTTTCACCTCATTATTTCATTAATATCACCAAGAAGGGCACAAAGAATGGCATTCTCACATTGTACCTATTTGGGAATTGAACTCAGGTCTTCAACATCACAAGCAAACGGTTTAACCCCTGGGCCATCCCACAGCCTAACTGACTAAATGATATGAAAAACATAATAAATTCAATAACAAGTAAAGATGAAAGATTTTTAATCAAGTTAGCATAATAGTTCCCATACAAAGACATTGAGAAGGTGTTTATACAATTTACTATGCAATTTCTTAGCAAAAATATACCATTTTGGTGACACATGTCTCCTAGCTGAATGTACAATCGTGACAATTTACACAATAAAATGATGCGTCATCGTCTACACCACTGTTAAGCTGGTAGACCTGTGTTCTACACACGGAATTGCTCATTAAGAAAAGCCACACTTCACAATCAGTAACAAAAAGTCAGCGAGGACACCAACTTGACCAAGTTAAAATCTCTGGACAAATTCAACAGATCATATATACCTAAGAACTACTAAAATCAAATCCAACAGTATTGTAGCATGTGGAAACTATTCTCCTTTTCAGAGTAACTAAGATTTATATTAGTAACCTGTTACTAACTTGAGAAGAAACTGAGTAATAGAAAATCCATCTTTTTTATATTTTGTATAAAAAAATGAGAGTATGTATACATATGATCTCAGTAACATATCTTGACCTTTTCAAAATAAAAAAGAAATATGAAGAAAAAACCGTGAGATTTTAATAAGTTCAAACTTTTCTTTTCACCATATTCAATTAGTGTTTATTATTGTATTATCACGTTCACCTTCAACTGATTCCAATAGTTTTGATTATAGTCAATCAATTTGGTCATGATAACGGTCAATATATGCGATTCTGACCTAACATATCTTCAATAGCATTATTTATATATGCTTGGATGAAAAGCTTAGGTCTGAGAGAATAATGTTTGGCACAACAGCAAACAATTTAGCAAACTTAATAGTACAGTCAAATAGTTCCACGCAATGCCTTTCTCTAGTTTCTGCATGAAATCTATCTTGTAGTGCGGACATGACATCAATACAAATAGTGACCGAGTACTATAATTCATAGATAGTACAAAGGTAAGCCTTACACTTCACAGTTCATAAAAAAGTGGCTGCAAAATACAACACACCTTTTTACCAATGTTTTAAACAGCTGCAGCAAACATCACACTTAGACAAATATTACCAAAGGAAGACCTCTACATAAATATGAGCTTACTCTGTGTTCTTTAGAAATCAGTACAACATGTACAGACCATTTCCTTCTAACACAAAATCAGTCTGTAAGTATAAACGCCAAACATTCTTTTACTTGAGACAACCTCAAATAAACCTTTAATCTGCTAAAATTATCACATTCATGGTTTAAACAGCTGCTTACACATAAAATTAACAATCACTTCCATAAATAGAAAATATACAATAATTAAACAGAAAATTGTGCTTCAAAAGTCTTTGTAAAACAAGTGGCATTGTACTTAATCCGAACTACATGTCTCTTTGTACTTCAGGAATAGTGGAATAAACATTCTTACAAACATTTGATCATACAATATTGTCCCTTTACTTCCAAACATAGAAAATTGTTCCTTCTGCACCAAACTGCAAACATTTGGTCCCTACTCCTGAAAGATGAATATTTTCAACAGAAAAAAAAGGTAACAGAATTTCTGTAATGACCACAGCATCAAGATCGAGTAATTTTCCGATAATGGTTCACAATTTCAATATAAATATATACAGCAAAAGAACAATGTCTCTCTACTCCATTGTTCATAACATCACTCAACTGGTAATAATTCAATTGATATTTTGTACTTTTAACAGGGTATCTACAATAAGCACAGTCTAAAAGCTAGAGTGATGTAGCAATATATATATACTTGCAAGACAAAATTGACACCCAAAATAGCAAAGGAGTTTGAAGTTATCAAACACTAAGTCCTGCCAAGGCAGAATGTACACAGGACAGTATAGAAGATAAAGTGTCTCAGAAGTTTCAGTTGACTGGTTTAATAGATGTTGATTATTCAACGAATGGCAAGATCTTATCAGCACAAAGTAATGCCTGAACATTGGCTCTAGTCTTGATCAAAGCAATGTTTTTTCATGGTGGTGGTACAAAAAACAATTTTAGAACTCTTCGTCTGATAACTGAAAATTAATTGCTAGATATGTGTCTAGGTATATCAACATTTTTTGCAGTTGTTGATGATAAAGCCGCAGACTAAATGGCCTCTTAAGCTAAAAAAAAGGCTTAACACAATTGATAAATAAAACTTCTCAAAAGTGGAAATGGTGAGAGAAGTCGAGATATTCACTATCTGCAAGCCTAAGATATTTCAGAAATCGGTTCTGGACATTTCAATTAAAAAAGAAGAAGTCAATCCCAGATAATATTCTAGCGATTAATTATTAGCTATTTGCTTGAAAATTACGGTTTGTTATTCCTGTAAACTGGGCAGCACAAAGCTTCCAGCCCTGATCATCTTATAAGGCACATCTCAGCTGATCCTCAATTTCACTTTCAAAATTCCATACAAGGAACCTGAAGCCAAGACTTGACAAATCATGTCCTCTAACACCGGATAACAACCTTCAGTACAGTGGCAGATAGACCCCTACTCAGTCAATAAAAAAAGAATAATTTACAAAAGGGTTGCTTTCCAAAAGGTACTACTCTATACAGCATTGGTGGACATTACACTCAGGCCCTGTACATATACATCCGTTAACACCTTTAAAACAACACTATATATAAATTTGTACACATATTCTACTATGATGGAGACGGTTACTTAAAGATCAATGTATACTGTATATTACAGGGCGATGAGAGGGGGATGTTAAGACTCAATGACAAAACCCATGCAGTGCATGATATAAAATGTATATAGCATTACATGAAAGAATTCCTTCCACAATACAAGCCCAGCTCACAAGATCCTGCACTTTCCCTTCTTCTTAGCCTTAGGTTTGGGGCACAGTACGGCTCGAATTGCCTCATCAAATACACTCTTTAGACCTTTTTGTGTAAGAGCAGAGCATTCCAAGTATTTAACAGCCCCAATCTCCTTTGCCATTGCTAGTCCCTGTGGGTAGGTGATTGGGCATAGCTTCTTCTCCCGCAGTTTCTCCACGGTCTCCTTGTCTTCTCGGAGATCCAGCTTGGTGCCCACAAGGATGATCGGAGTGTTGGGGCAGTGGTGGCTCACCTCAGGGTACCACTGGAAAAACAAATCATATTGGAGTGAAGAAAACATTTGGCGTAACCTCAGCTAGTGAGATGTCACTTGTTTGACTTCTGTTTAACGCCACACTTGGCCATATTCCAGCTATATGAAGGTGGTCTGGAAATAATCAAGTGTGGACCAGACAAACCGGCTACTGATAATATGAGCAATGATCAGGTAATGATGATACACAGTCCACAAAGTCATGGAGTCTGACCACCCAACCTATTAAGTCACCTCATACACCAAGCATAGGATACTGACAAATCAGATCTTAGTTCTCGCTACCGCCAAACAAAGATCTGAGGACATCCCATCAGGGGTCACGTCAGAAGGACCTTTCATCCGACCAATCAGAGTGTCACTTACCAGATCATGAAAGTAACATTCAGATCAGAATGTGAATTCTGATAATGCAACCTCGAAAACTTGAAGACGGGATACTCCGAACGATAGTTTTGGGTTTAACAACTGAATCCATACAATGTAGACCATCTATTAGCCATTCCAGAATGTTCTTTCGTTCAGGTTTCAAATTTCTAATCAAGAATTTGTCAAAATATATTTCGAAGCGTAGTCGCCAATTTGAAATTAGTGCCTTAAAGCAAGAGAAAGCTGTCTTCTGATTGGTTAATGTAGACTTCTTGTCAGTCCTTCTATCGGTCGGTCAGGTCGGTCTGACGTGACCCGTTATGGGATGTCCTCAGATCTTTGTTTAGCGGTAGCAAGAACTAAGATCTGATTTTAATGAGATTGGGGATACTGAAGACTTATTCCAACCCAGAATCTCCGGGGTGAGGTGACATGTTGAGTACTCTCGGCACAGCAATATTCAGGCTAACCAAAGAAATATAGCATTTGGATCCAATCCAACATGTCAACAAAACTGAACATCATTTGCACGCATATGTTTTGCACGCATATTTGTAAACTTACTATCAGCGGCACAAAATTGGTTGCATCTATATCATCTATATTTTGCTTTAAAAGGACACGCCGACCTGCTTCTCTAAATTTGTGACAACTCAACTTAATACATGTAACAACAATTAACAGTAAACATACATAAGTTACAACTGCACTTTTATCAGTAAAGATAGTAAATATCTGCTAGACTTTCGTCCATATTATTACCCACATTAATATACATCACTGCAGTATTAAAGATTTGCTAACATACATTTCTCCTTATTAGTGATGTGAGTTGTTACTGAAGTTAATATTTCTGTCCTTAACAAAATAATTATCAAAATATAATTTCCTCTTGGCACATGGGGAGCCTCCCTAAACCACCCAGTGGCCTATCCCCCCATAATGATCTACATAATTATCATTAATGATGAAAATGAGCCAATTAAAACTGAGGGCATGGATGATGGCAGATTAGGGTTGGTGTGCTTGGGAAATGTATACAGTTAAAACTGTCTAATTGGCATCTCTACACATTATCCACCACTCTCTACACCCTGTAAACCAGTGCTAAAACCCCAACCATATGAAATCTCTTTTTTCATCAAACTGTATCACTGTTGAGATAGTAAGCTGAATATTTACGACTAGAAGGATGGAAAGCGTACAAGTGTAATATCATACAATCTAAACTGGTTCCACAGCACAGAAATAAACAAGGCTATCAGTCAAACACATTCACTCACCCTGATCATGCTGAGAACTATAGCAGAACTATTTGTTTGTTGTTTGATGCCACATTTAGCAATATTCCAGCAATATGATGAATAATCAAAGAAACCAGGCATTAGGACAGCTGCATGCTGACCAGAGTGCACGAATGGTTGCCAATGCTTTAATGTCCATGTGAGAACCATCTTCAGATTACAGCAACTATACCAGGTCACCAACAGCATGCAGTCGTCCTAAAGCCTGGTTTCTCTGATTCTTCCTAAGGTTTGGCATGGCGCTAGTATCGGAACAAGGATGCTGGATCCACATATTGGGGTGGGGGAGGAGGAAGACACCAACGTCTAGGAACTGCCTGATGATACACCATGGATAAAGTGCTGGCATTTCTGTATTAGCTGCCTTACCTTTGCTCGCACATTCTCGAAACTGGCAGGACTGATAAGAGAAAAACAGATGAGGAAGACATCCTGAAAAACAACAACAGCTGGTTAGTCAGCGCTGGAATCACATACATAGAACAGTGATCTCACAAACCAATCAGAAATTAGACATTAGCTTTAATGCCATCCATGTGGGATTCATTTTAAAGGTAGAAATATTTCTTCATGCTATGACTCTATATGATTAGTGAATGATAATATAAAAAACAAAACTAGATTTTCAAAATGGCAACTAAATTACATAAAAGTCCTTGACATTTATCAGTTGACCCAGGCTTGTTGATAAGTGGCCCTTGTCTCTTAACCCTCATATAAACATGACATTACAAACAGACTGATGAGTCTTAGTGGCTGTGTGGATGATGGTAACAGTGCAATAGTCCCACTATATTATCACAGTCCGTAGAAAATGGAGTTTGTAAGGAAGGTACATACAGTCTGGGGGTATGACAAGGGTCGCAATCTGTCATAATCCTCCTGTCCAGCAGTATCCCATAATCCTAAGTTGATGGGTTTCCCATCTACCATAACATTGGCAGAGTAGTTGTCAAACCTGCAAAAAACAACAGTTCAGTCAGACATTGTTCATATCTCAACAATAGTACTGCCAAATGTCAAACCTGCAAAAAACAACAGTGCAGTCAGACATTGTTCATATCTCAACAATAGTACTGCCAAATGTCAAACCTGCAATAAACAGCAGTGCAGTCAGACATTGTTCATATCTTAACAATAGTACTGCCAAATGTCAAACCTGCAATAAACAGCAGTGCAGTCAGACATTGTTCATATCTCAACAATAGTACTGCCAAATGTCAAACCTGCAATAAACATCAGTGCAGTCAGACATTGTTCATATCTCAACAATAGTACTGCCAAATGTCAAACCTGCAATAAACAGCAGTGCAGTCAGACATTGTTCATATCTCAACAATAGTACTGCCAAATGTCAAACCTGCAATAAACAACAATAGAGTCATAGAGATTGTCCACATATCAACAATAGTACTCCCAAAACAAAACACTTGTATAGTTTGTTTTGTCCAGTAATATTAGTACCTAATATGTTAAGCTAATGTTGCCATTGTTTACAATCACTCTCATTCACACGTGTTCATTGAATAATCACTAAAATGTTGAAGTTAATAACTTAACATACTTTTTGGTATTGACATTGAAGAGTTGGAAGTCTCAACATGACGATCTCATTTCACAAAACAATCTTAACACCAGGCAATATACACTTTGTGGAACGGGGCCCTACAGTCTTCCCATGGAAGGTGACACGTGATTCACCACAAGTATCCTATCCCAGTTACTCAATGTAGAATAGTGACATGGAACACTTCCTAATCTTGGACCACAAGTTTCCTATCCCAGTTACTCAATGTAGAATAGTGACATGGAACACTTCCTACTCTTGGACCACAAGTTTCCTATCCCAGTTACTCAATGTAGAATAGTGACATGGAACACTTCCTACTCTTGGACCACAAGTTTCCTATCCCAGTTACTCAATGTAGAATAGTGACATGGAACACTTCCTACTCTTGGACCACAAGTTTCCTATCCCAGTTACTCAATGTAGAATAGTGACATGGAACACTTCCTAATCTTGGACCACAAGTTTCCTATCCCAGTTACTCAATGTAGAATAGTGACATGGAACACTTCCTAATCTTGGACCACAAGTTTCCTATCCCAGTTACTCAATGTAGAATAGTGACATGGAACACTTCCTACTCTTGGACCACAAGTTTCCTATCCCAGTTACTCAATGTAGAATAGTGACATGGAACACTTCCTAATCTTGGACCACAAGTTTCCTATCCCAGTTACTCAATGTAGAATAGTGACATGGAACACTTTCTACTCTTGGACCACAAGTTTCCTATCCAAGTTACTCAATGTAGAATAGTGACATGGAACACTTCCTACTCTTGGAGACCCATGAAGATTCCGGGGTAGAATAGGTCTTCAGCAACCCATGCTTGCCGTAAAAGGCGACTATGCTTGTCGTAAAAGGCGACTAACGGGATCGGGTGGTCAGGCTGGCTGACTTGGTCGATACATATCATCGATCCCAATTGCATGGATCGATGCTCATGATGTCAATCACTGGATTGTCTGGTCCAGACTCGATTATTTTACAGACCGCCGCAATATAGCTGGAATATTGCTGAGTGCCGGGTTAAACAAAAAACAAACAAACAAACAAACAATCCTACTCTTGGATGTCTCCAACAAACTCCAACTGGAGTAATCTTCATGTTACTCAAATCTCTTCACAATTCAGCAGGTGAAACATTTTCAAATGATTGAAACCAAAGCATGTTCCCAAAGATGGGCACAAACATAATTTGGAGAATTAACTTTCTGTCTTGTCACATGTCACATCTACAAAATGAGCTTAGTTCACCTCACCATAATCTCTTTGAAAACAATCCTTGAGTAATTCAGTCACATGACTGCTCATGTCAATAACTATGGATTCATTTATATTTCTACATGACACACTTATTGTCCAGAAACTATCCAAACTCATTTTAGCCATCATGTGACCTTTGACCTATATACTGACCACTAGTGAACTTTCATGAGCATCAGTACATAAACCAAATTTGTCATCATCCATCAAAAACTGATAGTTATTAGAAATTCAAATATGTCACCAGCACAAAGTCCGTCCAGACAACACTCGGTCTTTTACATTGTCCTTTTCTCCGAGATAACAATTTCTGACATGAAGAAAACAAAACCATTTATAAGGTATCTTAATGTTTATTGATTTCTGTACAAAATGGCCCAAATTTTAATGTCGGTCATACATATTTTTTTATGTGTCATTCAAATTCACACACAATTATTGAATGAAAAAACAAACAAGTCAGGACATTGAGTTCAGTGTTGGAAATCAATGGTATGACACTTGTATCACAATATGCTTGAGTTTCAGAAACCACTGTGGTTTAATCTTCCAAACAGCCATAAATAATAACACTTACACATTCATGGGTCAATATCTATTTGCAAAAGCAGAGTTGATCACGTTTTTCACCAAAGTAAATTGATTTTTATTCTAATTTTTATGTCCGCCAGTTTTGTAAACTAGGAAAATAAAATAAAAGGTCTAAGTAAATGGTGACAAGTGCCTGCTACCATGGTTACTCATACTTCTTCCTACAATGAATAATCTTAGCTCTATCATCATCACTCATGCATTGTCATTGCTTCCTGGGGTCAAGTTGGTCACTCAACAGCAATAACCAGTATTACATGATATTTAAGCAGGACAAATGTCAGGGGCTAAAACTGATGTATCACATCAAGGCATCACTTTTACATTTCAAATACATCATTGATAACTTGTGACATAGCGTAAGACATTTAATCATTTCTGCAGAATATGTCAGGACCATGAGAGTTGATTAACGCTTGACATGTCTGAAACATCAATGTTTATCATTCTTATGTCTACATAATGAACCATGTACTGTGATGTGGAATCAAGGTTTTCACATCTTTATATTGCAAACATTTCAAATTTTTATCCAGCTTCCAACTGAGAGCAATAAAATAAAAATACTGACATTTCAAAATTATCCTCTTTAACTGACCTGACCAAAATTTGCCAATATGCTTGTAAAACCCTGGTTTAAGACTGTAGACATCAGTATTACCTTTTATGGATACAATTTATAACAGTAACAGATTACGGTCTTATGCCACTTTTAGCAGTATTTCAGCAAACAAACAACAGGGGACAGACACCAAAAGGGGGCTTCACACATTGCACCCATAAGGGGATTGGAACCTGGGCCTACAGAATGACACAAGTCTACCCCCACCGCCTCACCTGTAAAAGTGAGTGAGTGAGTATGGTTTTATGCCGCTTTTAGCAACATTCCAGCCATATCATAGCTGGGGGACACCAGAAATGGACTTCACACATTGTACCCATGTCAGGAATCGAACCCAGGTCTTTGGCATGATGAGCGAACGCTTTAACCTATAGGCTACCTGACCGCCCCTCACCCGTAAAAGAAAAGCCAGCGATCTCTGCCTCATGTATTTGGATTCTTAGATACAAGTGCTGATAGTAGCTCCCAGACTCTGTTTTAAATATTCTAAAGAGGAAATGAAGCACCTATGTTAACGATAGTCTCTTCCTGACAAGATGATGGAAAAAACTGTGATAACATTATCGCAATATTGCAGCAAGTGTTTTCGGATATCAAACTGGGTGAAGTGTTAAACACCTGTAAGCTATCTATAATGGAGTTGGCTGGTGGTGGTGAGACCTGAAATTCAGGTGTATGGACAGTAGCACCTGGTCCAACAACATATTGGTATAGCTGGGGGCAATGTGGCTACTCAGGTGTGACGGGGAGGGAATCATAAAGTGGAAGATTGCTTTAGGGGAAGGAAAAATAAAGGGATTAGCAACTTAGCTCAAATAACACCACAAGTCATTAACTAGTTCGCATGGACCCAATTTAGGGATCTGGATCCTATTAATTTTAAGTGAATAGAAATCTGTAAAAAGATTTCAATCAATGGATCGACCAGGTATTAGGAAAGCATTGAAAGGTAATGCTCTTAAAGTATACATGCAGGAAGAAGGAAAACCTGTTTCTTTCCCTTTCTCTTGTATAACAAGACTACATAAATAACAATGTGTATGCAGTGTTCAAATTAAGAAGCAAAGGGTCCTCATCACATGTCATATACAACCCTAATGTTTGTGATAATGATATATAATTACCAAAATGTAACTGAATATAATAGCAGAAACCCTCAAGGACTCCAGACCCTAGTCTGTCTCACAGTCACCGAACCTTATTATTTTCCCTTCCGACCAGCTCTTATTGTAATGATATAGCCCTAAATGAAGCAAGTCTAGATTATCCACAGGTTCACATCTCACTAGGCCTTCTTTTAAACTTAAATGGAACTGGTTTTTTCTCTATTAAACTTACATATTTTCAGAGACTTAGCTTCTATTCAGATCCCTATAATTTCAAATTCCTATCAGTAAATGAATAAATATATCATTTTTTTAGCAAGGTATCTAAACAAGACAGGTAAGCAAGATAGTATGGTAAATACTAGTTTTAAAAAACTGGAATAAAATAAGAACTATCTACAGTTAAAACAAGCAGAGTTTATCATGATTAGTCAGACCAATACTCCAAAGCTACTGATATCAGATGAAAACATGCAGCACTATTTTGCAAAGAACAGCATCATTATGTCATCTTCAGAACATTTTTCATAACAATCAGTCTGAGTTCCAGAAAACGAACCAACCAACCTAAAACCCTGTACTATACAGAATCAAAGCTCTCTTCTACACAACAGGATCACTTCAATGTGTGTAATCCCATTACTGTCAAAACAGTCTACAGTAGGCGTATTGTTAATCATATGCTGAAGGACATTCATATCATGAGGTAATAAATCTAGTACAACTTCTCTTCCTGATCAGGGTTTTATATCCTCAACTGATAGACCCTTTCAGCATGTGTCGAAAATAATATGACATGTGGCCAA